AAAACAATCCGAAAGGATCCCTATGATTCCAAGGGTTACACACACACACCTTTTGGGGTTCCTGTGCCTTTGCACTTCCTTGGTGTGAGATTCCAAGCATGGCTGCGCTTTCAACGTGGCAAACGATGAGAGGCCCATTAAATTGTCCATTGCAAGATTACTCCAAATGTGCCACAACCACCCAACTTCATCTGAGTGGTCCAACAGTACAAACCTGCCACCCTACAGTGCTTCCATTCAAACTCTTCTACGCTTGGCCTTGGCTTTGCTCGGTGTTTTCCGATCCGCTTGCGCTCGGGGTCGTTCTGTGTCATGGCCGTTCGAACGTTTCAATCATCAAAAATCCTTTCGGAAATGCCGCGGTTGTGGAATGGAACTATATATATATAACTGGTTGGACAACAGAAAAAACTGGTGTATGAACTCCCAGTGCCACCGAAAGAGGTGGCGCACTCTCATTATATGGCCCTGCTCATGTTTCGGATCCGTCGGAAGAGAGCAGCAGCATGTGGTGGGACGTGAGCGGAGGTCGTGAGCGGATGTCCTGCGTGGTCGTTGGCTGATTTACAGAACCCGTGTGTCGTGCAAGGGATTCACGAATTCAGCATTCAACCATTCAACTTATTCAACCTAGCGCCATTGAGGTTTTATGAGTAGATTCAGTAGATGTCCGTTTTCGCAGTGTAGACATGTCAAGATCATCTTATTACAACCAGCACAACGATCTTCCAATGGCACTGGAGATGTCCGCGACCTGTGATGCTCGGATCTGGATGATTTCTTGTGGTCACCACCCATGTTACAAACTGTTGGTGTCGAAAAAGTGGGCTGGGCCATCCAAGAAAGCACAATCCAAAAAGCTTACGCCAGCCTGTCATCAAACCAATGGCTGTTTGAAGGTAAATGGTTGGAATCCCACGGCTTAGTTTGACTGATTTTCTTCTCGAAGTGCCCATTCTACAAGGAAACTATTCCTAACATCCCAACGGGGCCCCAACGGCAACATCAAACCTATAGGATCATCATCATGTCCAGTGGTGCCCCTGCGCCCCCTATGAACACTACTCTGGTCGGCCGACAGTCGACAGTATCCCTACCTGGAGCCAGGCATGACCTCGTTTTTGATAGGACAAGATCATATTTGGGGTGGTTAGTGGTGTAAAGTAGAGGTCACTCAGAATCTGGGTGGTCACTCAGAATCTGGGTGGTATATAGAATATTCCTTGGTGAGCACGCATCCTTGACGGGGAAAACCAAGTCTGTTTGACTCGTTGGTCGAGCTATGTGGAAAAAAACTTATGTCAGCCGCTATGCTGTTGATTAAGGCAAGTCCTACACTAGAACATTCGGACCCTCAGCTGTTCGCACCAAACACATCATCTATCTCTGATAAGCGTTGACTTAATCAACCATTCCAGTACTTCATTTGTTTCACCTTCATGTTGTTCACATTTAGTCTGAGATGTAGCCATTTGTGTTGGAACTCCCTGTTTTGTGGGAAATATACTTTTTCCAGCTGTTGCTATCTAGTGGGGAATCCAATCCCCTGGGAAACCAAGCGGGACATCGCGCTTTCGATTGGTGAAAACCAACATTCTCAAGGTCTTTCAGTCGAACACCACATGCCGTTGCATCATGTGGCTTAGAGTTGAGCGCGCTCATGAGTTCAGCTGTCGCTTAGCCGGGCTCGGATCTATCTATACTATATTGTATATTCTTTCGTGTACAAAGAGCGTGGTCGATGAGTCACATACAGCCGATGCTGATTTCATCGAACTGAACTTGATGCATCGGTAGAATCTTGAGCTGTGTGAGCTATCGTGCAAGATCTAGTTATGCTTCTTAGATGTTTCAGGTCCCGCTCCAGAGTAAAAATGAAGATGTTTCTCCAAAAGACCACGTGATACGTGATTTGCAGACATTGATTGCACTATGTGATATAATGTGCTACATGGATGGAACTGTGTAACTATGCATGTTGTTGCATTGCTTCAATGTTTCTTCAACTCTAGCCTAGCATAAACCATCGTCAGTTTGCTCGGAGTCGCGGCCCGGCTTCGTCAGGCCACTCCGCGTCGTCTTGCGGAATTCGGAAAAACCTCCAGCGACTTGCCCTTGCAAAGCTGGACAGGTTGAATCCATCAAGACCTATTTGACCAGGTTTGGCAGCTTTGTCGCCACTGAATGATTAGTTGGCATATGATGAGTAGCTTTGTGGGGAGGGTTGATTTCGGAGGTCAATATCTTCCCAACTTCAGACAGGTCGCCAAAACCGGAGGGCCCTGGTTGACCACACCCACCCAAACGGCCCTTCCTTTTCAGGGGTACCGGGGTGTTGGTTTGAAGGATCAAAGCATCTAACTTATTCACACATTCACAAGGATCCCTGATGTGAAATGAACAGAATCATCTACTAGGGAGGTCAACCTACCAGGATGAAACGGAGAAGAAGTTCTTTTGGTTTCGACCCTTGTTTTTGTTGTTTTTCCCCAAATAGTGCTCCGCACTAAGGGGTTCTTACGGTGAGAGTTAAGCAGGGTTAGATGAGGGTTCGCGTTTGTGGCTGCGGCATTTTGCGTGGGCCGGCTCGCACAAAAGTTACTTTTTGAATTCCTCATGTTCATTTCGACTGCGCAGGTTCGCATAAATTGGGGGCCGCGGTCTTCGTGCTTCCGGGGCGTTGCTCTCGTGCAGGTGCCGTGCTCGTTTTCGGAGCTAAAGTGAATTTCGCGTGGCAGGCGCAAGGAATTCGACACATTGGAGCCTCGAAAAGGTCATTTTACGTGGCAGGTGCAAGGAATCGGAGACTTTGCAAATTTCGTGGCAGGCGCAGTGTTTTGTGGACGTTGCAAAAACGTTGGCAGGCGTGTGTCATTCGCAGGACTGCGTTTCACGTGGCAGGCGCAGGGAATCCGCACCATGGATGCGATATTTTGAGGTGAAAGGGCTGAATTCGTGAGAGGGGTTGCATTTTTGGACTTGGACCTTGAGGATGATTTTGCGTGGCCAGTGCAGCATTTCGTATGACCTGCAGGCATGATTTCGTGGCAGGCACAGCATTTCTGAAACGCATGTCAAAATTTGCGAAAGCCTCGTGCAATTTGCTCATTTTGGATCTCCAATGTGCAGATTTCGTGGCAGGCGCAGCACTTTGTGAATCTCGATGTG